CATCATCTCATAAAGCTAACAGTAACATCTTGTCATTTCTTTGTACTTCCAGACCACTGTGTTTACACATACATGTACATGTATATGCATCGTTGGGAATCCCTGTCATGTTTTAGCAGAAATATTTTGATTTTTTTTTACTTACAGGCAATCAACTGGATGTGGGAAGAGTTACTCTGTTTCCCTTCACTCTCAACATAGACAGTCATTGTGTATGTATATCCAGGTATGGATAAATTGACACAAGATGCTTCATAGAATGGAGGCTGGGTAGTATTCCCTATTGGTATTTCTTCTGGTTGAGGTGTTCCTTCAGAACAGGAAATATTGAAATGGTCTGCATCACCTCCAGGGTAGACCCACAGGGAACTGACAGATAAAGTTGTTGATTCTCCTTCAATTAGGGCGACACCATTGGGTACTGTATGATTTTAAAAAGGGGGAAAAGAACATTTCAATTTTTACTTTAACATTACACAAGCTTGTTCATTTCAAGCAAACTCTCACAAAATAAATTTAAATTTTTTTTCAAGAATTACCATTTTGCGACTCTTTAACACTGGCAGCAATGGCTTATATTACAGATTGTACTGTTACAGAATTAATTTTTGGTTAGTCAGCGCAACCCCCTATGAATCATCTGAAGTTTATGAAATAAAATGTGCTGTATGTTTTCTTCACCATTACTGTCAATTTTCTTCACTATCGTACTATCTGGCACAACAACACACCTTAAGAGTGGTGAACTGCAACTTTAAAATTATGTCTCTGACAAATATGCCATCTGAGTAATAAGTGTAAACCCTTGACATTAACCATGACTTGAAGTTTTCTATACCATTAAATAGTCATTATAGCATCCTGATCAATCAAAAATATCAGACCAAAGTTATTCTGTGCTGGTAACTGAAAAGGGTAAATATGTACAAGTTTTCCAAGACAGATTTGAAACCATGTTTACAGGTCCACAAAATAAGGCTTGAATGACTGCACACAAGTGACAACTTACGTGCAATTATCTGAATACTCGCTGAAAAACTTTTATCTCTGCTATGAGATTCCACAGTTATGGTGTACTCTCTTCCCGCAAAGGGTAAATCAATACAGGATGCTTGACTTCTACTTGAAGTGTAATTAATTCTAGCTGGCTCAGGAGTTCCTTCTTGGCATTTGATGATGTAATATTCAATAACAGGAGTAAATGATGGTTGTTGCTGGTCAGTTGGTGCAGGCCACTGTGCTGTGATGGAGTTCACCGTAGAATCAATCTCCTCAAGAACTACGCTTGTGGGTACTGAGAAAAAAAACACCAACTGATTTAACTGTGGATTTGTAAAGAGCGATATTTCCACTTCTGTTAGTCAGCCTATAGCAAGTTGTGCCATGAAGCTGACCCTTTCAACTCATCCAAAAGAAGAGATTCTGGATTAAGTCAAGTCCACTTTTAACCACTTGCTGCCGGGGAACTCAGTTTTGAACACCATATGCCCGAAATGGGACAAAAGAGCTGGTCCATGCAACAAAAGACTGTACTCGGAACAAAAGACCTGCTGCTGGGAACTGCTATCATTTTTCAGCTAGCATTTTTCGAAGGTAATCCGTCACTGTTTTTAAACAGTATACCACTGTTTTGGGCACAGCGCACCCGTGGATTAGCACCACGGACAAAAGTGCTCCAAGGCCCAAATGATAAGCGAACACAGCACCGTTGCATGCTAATCCAGCAAAATTTGAAAAGACGCCACTCGCATTCACTGGGGACAAAGGAAATTACGCTACACCTCACAATGCTGGGCTCTATTTACAGGGCAGCAGGCTTGGCTGAAATATTCAGGAGTCAATGAAGAGTACCTGTCAGCTTAGAGTAGCCACTAAAGAGTCATTTGTGTGGGTGTAAATGTCCATTAAATGAAATGATGAATTTTTGAAGAATTTTGAAAACTGAAAATCTTGAAAATTTCCGTATGTGTGCACTGCATTTTTAAAAGCACCCGGCAGCATGTGGTTAAACGGAAAGATATAAAACTTGAAAAATCCTTTCAGGAAGCAAGGTACCTGTATGTTCCAATCAGACATGGTCAATGTACATAGACTAGCATTCCATTCCGTTGTTTCTACAGAGAATAGTGTGGAGTTAGCAAGTTCAGCAAGTAGGCTCACTGATAACGTACATATACCAAGTATTCTGAAAGTTGAGAGCTTGAAATCTACCTCTCATGTTAAGTACCTGTTGTTTCCTGTCTTTCTTGGCTTTCAGCAAAGACTTCTTGACTTTCTATAGAGCCACTACTAGCTATAACCCTCAGCTTGTATGTCTCTCCAGGTAGCAAATTGTCAAGTGTTGTCTTCAAGGTTGAGTTATCCAATGTTTTATTTCTCATCTCTGTATCCTCCTTAACTCCAGTGTAACTGATGATGTATCTCTCCACAAAGCTGTTTAGTGGTTTCCTCCACTCCAGATCCATCGTTGACATGGTAACAGATGTGATATTAGTGATGGTTGGCTCATTCAATTCTGTATGGACATGAAGAAAATTGGGGAAAACAGAAATATGATTTCCTTGTCTTCGATGCCGATGTTAACCTACATGTACTTGCAAACCAGCTGCACAAAATATCTTGATAAGGTTCAATAAGTCTGACAAAGACTTCTCTTTCAATTCATGGTATATACAGACTTGCCTCTTTCTTTGATTCACAAAATGTTCTGTCTTGAGGTTTCTGCTCAATGTATCACTTGTAGCCTCTCCCAGTAAGCCAAAGCACAGCTTATCATATCCCCTATCCCAATCCCCACTCAAAACCTACTACCATTCAATAAGGACAAGTTCTCAACAGAATGATGGGACTCCCTTGTTTGTTTCTTACCTGTAGTTCTTTGTTTTTCTTTGCTCTCAGCGAGAGCAAGTCCACTTTTAGCAATTACTTTGACAACATATGTTTCTCCTGGTAGCAAATCAGTCAGTTGATAATTGTTCAGTGAGCCAGGCAGGGTTGTATTTTTGGTCTCTGTGTCCTCAAATGTCCCTCTGTATTCCACTGTAAAATTTTCAACAATGTCCAAGGAACTCCAAGCGATGACCATTGTTTCATTGGTAACACCAGTGATGTTATCAATGGTGGGAGCTCTAAGTTCTGAAAAGAAAAATGACACTCAAAAAATCTGCATTGCTAACTTGGACTTTATATGAAGATATGTTACAATTTTACATAGCAAGTCTATCAGCATCTTGTTTGAATGCAAGTTGAAATCAGATAATTCTACATGGTTCCCTAGCACAACTGCATTACAAAGATTATTTCATAATATTGTCCTTACCCTGTAACATTTTCAATATGAACTAATTCACAAACTTGATGAGCAGTCCTGTGGCTAAGTTAGCCAATGTTATAACACTTCTTCTCACCTGTGACACTGACTATAAATGTACAGGGAGATACAGCATCATTCCCTGCAGCATCCTTTGCTGTGCATTCAACTGTTCTCTCACCAATTTCAAACTCAGAGTTTGATGGAGGCAGGCAGGTGACATTAGGTTGTGGATCTATGTTATCACTTGCTGTGGGGTCTTTCCACATCACTAGAGTGGAGTTGGTGGCATAGTCAGCAAATTGAGACATGTCTGCAGGACAAGTACCTTGATCCAGGACAGGAGGCATAGTATCTAAAAAAAACAGGAAAAATGCACTTTGGGTCACTTTTTTTTTAAATTCCATAATATATTACCAAATACTGCAGTGGCAGTGTTGTAAAAAACATTGAGAATTTATATTCTGATCATAGAGCCCACCAAGTGACAGTTTCCATTGTGTACCATCATCCACTGGACTTAAATTGAGAAGTGAATATATTTTGATGTTTATTACTATTTTATCCTCCACACTACATCCTTCAGAAAAACTGTAATTAAAAGAATAAAAATGTAAATCTGTTATCCAAAATATGAAAAGGAATGGATTACACACAGCCAAATGGTATTGATAACACAAGCACAAATTTCCTGCTTATGAACAGGTCAATTCATAGTTAGCGTGAGAAAAAGTCATGACGGGGTAACAATGAAGGTGAGCATGATACTGATGATAAGTAAACATACATGCAGTGTTTCAGATTTTATCACATTAACAGTGATATTGAAGCTGGACTTTTTCACAAAATAACCATTGTAAGCTTTACTTTTTTTAGATTTTTATCTCACCAGCGATGATACTAAGGATATTTCTTCCACTGGCCTTATGATATTATTTAAATAGCTAACCAGATTCAGCTCCGTATTCAGATTTTATCTTACCAACAGTGATATTGAAGGTACAACTTTCATTAGCAATATTTCCAGCTGCATCGGCAGCATTGCAAATGACAGCTGTATCTTGGTTTTCCATAAAAACAGATCCTGAAGGTGGGTCACATGACACGGTAAGCTTCACATCTCCCTCTGTAGCAGTTGGTTCTGTGTAGTCCACTGTTGCATTATTAGTCAGAACATTGTCAGGACAACCAACAAATGTAGCCTCTGGAGGAATGGTATCTGTAAAAGGAAAATTAACTACTGTAATGACCTGATTCATTCATGACATGTTCTCCTCTCTCTACTGTGCAATGTTCCATAGCAAGGAACCATTCAAAAACGTGACGTGCAATCCCTCTTTAACCCACAAGTGAAACGTACATGTATCATGTCATTTTTAATGTAAACTTTTATAGTTAAGGGATGTTATGAACAAACTAAGCATCAACAATGCAGCCCATTGTAACCATTTTTTCCAAACATTTCCTAACTACATATACCTACACTGAACCTCTAACAGAATAAGACAAAACAAATCTTGTGCTGGAACAACTGAAATAATGTACGTTTTAGCTGGAGTCAACTTCAATTTCACTTGAACACATAAAGCCTAAATGCCTCAGAATACCCCTTAGAAATTGCACTATGAAAAATGAAAAAAAGGGTAAATAAGACTGTAAATATTTACAATGCTATTTGCAAAGTATCCGTTACATTCAGTGCCATGGTCCCTTTCAGTTCATTCCACCTTCATCAAAAGAAACCATTATTTCACACCCTCCAATAATAATTTAAACTGCTTGCAGGGATCAAGCATTTTATACATGTATACAATACATGTATGTGTATATGAACATCGGGGCTTACTCTCCAAGATATGCCAAGATAAAAATACCAATTCTGATTCTGAATATGATGCATCCTCCAGCTCAATCCACTTGGTGCCTTTAATGATCAGCTTCCACATCATCTGATTGCTGTATTTTATACACAAACAGTGGTTGCCGATATGTTCCACCCAAAAAACTTGTACCGGTTCTTTTTGAACTCAGATTTCTTATGCAGCTACATGTATATTCCGGTTGTATAAGAAATGGCCTCATATACCACTTACAAATGGGGCATAGCCATGTTATTTCTACACCATTCAATGATCAATGAAGTACAAGTATTTTTTACTTATTTCTTCTTTTATGTTAGTTCTTTGTTTTAACAATGTATCTTACCAACACTGACAATGAAAGTACAAGTTTTATCAGCAATATTTCCAGCTTCATCCGCAGCATTGCAAATGACAGTTGTATCTTGGTTTTCCATAAAAACAGATCCTGAAGGTGGGTCACATGACACAGTGAGGTGTACATCTCCCTCTGTAGCAGCTGGTTCTGTGTAGACCACTGTTGCATTATTGGTGAAAATGTTGTCACTGGGACAACTATCAAATGTAGCCACGGGAGGAGTTATGTCTGCAAATAGAAAATTCACTGTTATAATGACTTGCCTCAATTCTGAATCCACATCAGAAACTTCAAGTCAAAGCCTTATTGTCCCAAAACTGTAGATAAATGATATGTACACATGTAATTGATGTTACAATTTATTAATGTTTGTGTACTTGGCATTACAGTCCCAAACTAAAGTTTCAGCAATGTGTCATATCCAAAGTCTTATTATAACACCTCAGACTCTCGTTTTGTGGTTGTAACTGTACATTTATGGTAGTCTAAATTCACTATCCTAGAATCAGACTAAACACACCTGTAAATCCTTGGCTTTTTGTGCTGCACCTACATGTACATGTACATGTACAAATCCAACAATATTTTTATCATGCTTGCCAAATATAACCATTTTACCACTGGTTTGGTTTCAGGTCCAATTTTTTTTTTCAGGAACAATTATTACTCTGACAACATCAAACAAAACTGTAATAAGGACAAGATGGAGTTCAAATATCAATTACTCAAATTAAGCTTGAGCAAGTACACATACTTCACTTGAATGGACTCAAATCAAACTTCTTGATCTAATGATTTTAGTACCTTCCTTTTTTATAATGCCTGTACTCAAGTCACAAAAGTTTGTGATTCATTAAACCATTTGTGGAATCAAGTTTACAATTATCACAAATTACAATGCATTATGATTGAAAAGAAAAAGAAACTTTTCTACGTTCACTGCCTGTACCTACCTTTAGGTTCAACTTACCAACTGTTACTGTGAAGTTGCAATTTTTCAAGGCAACATTTCCAACAGCATCTGCTGCAGTACAAACAACTTGTGTAGCTTGCTTGTCTGAAAATGTAGATCCTGAAGATGGGTCACATGACACGGTAAGGTTCACATCTCCCTCTGTAGCAGTTGGTTCTGTGTAGTCCACTGTTGCATTATTAGTCAGAATATTGTCAGGACAACCAACAAATGTAGCCTCTGGAGGAATGGTATCTACAAAAGAGGAACAGAAAGATTTTTGTCTTTCATTGTTCACTTTCACATACTTCATGTCAAAATCAAAGTCTGTATAAACATAGCTGGTCACCTTATTTTGCTTGGAATTTTTAATACTTATACATGTACATGTATGTATTTACATGTACCAGTAAGAGCTACATGTAGCTATTTCAAGCTGATGGCATCGTTACTGTGGTCAGGTGGTGTCACTTTAGGCACTCACTCCAGAAGCTTAGGGATTTCTACAGAAATTGTGAATTCATGTAAAATATACATGTAAACAATTGAGTGCACGCTTCACTAGATACATGTACAACTGTATACATGTACCAATTTACCCAGGACCTACATGTACCAGTGTATACATGTACATGTACAGTGTACATGTGCACATGTATTAGGAAGATAACATATAGCATATGGGTCATTCCACAAAGTTCGGGCACAGTTTATGACGGCGTCCCTTGTTACATCAGTGAAAATAAACATCTTTTTTCCCTGCATGTGGATTCTTAATTGACATTTTTCTAAATCTTGCTAGGTTCTTGTAGTGGTGTGCTTCATCTTTGCTGAATAATATGACTTAATCTGTTGTAATGTGAAAATAAAGGGCAATAAAGTTACTGATGTAACAAGGGATGCCATCACAAACTGTGCCCGAACTTCATGGAATGACCCATATGCCCATAGAAACTGTTGGGTATTTTACTTGTTACTACAGTCATGACAGTTGGTGTTTGCATAGTCTGGCATATGTGTACATGTAATTTCTATATTCAAGAATACCCATGTTGCACCCCCGCTTAATCTACAGTCTAGTATTACACATAAAGCACATGTCTAGTACAGAGAAACAAGGAATAAGATTGAATTTCATACTAATTACAAAGTATGGGTACATGTAAAGCTGCTTGCATGCATGAGGTTGTTGTCTAATTGGATTGTTGGAAAATGCATGTACATCCATTATCAACCCACATCCACATTTACACGAAATGTTATAAGCATGTGCACACACCTGCCTTTTGCCTGCCTTTGTACAGCAACAATAAAGCAAACAATAACAATTTGACACACTTACAGATGAGTAACAACCAACACTGACTTACCTACAGAGACATTGAATGTGCAGCTTGCTACTGTGTCATTTAATTCATCAGAAGCATTGCAAACTACACTTGTTAGCCCCTCATTGAATTCCCCTGGGGCTGGTAAGCATGAAACAGAGCTGTCATCTGAAGCAATTGGTGCTGTGTAATAGACTTCACTATCATTTGTCAGACTGTTGTTAGGACAGATCAGTGTAACTGATGAAAGGGTAGTCATAACTGCAATGATGACAATACAAACAAAAATGAAAAAATACACAGACTTCATACACAGAACAGCAGAAGCAGTGATGGATCAGTGAGATCCAGGCTAGAAGCAAGCCAGTGAGTAAACAGCTGAACAGTAAAAAATAGAAAACAGAAATATAATTTATTACCTTCAGTTGTGCTAAGTGTGGGAGTTGGTGACTCTGTAGTCTGGTTAGCACATTTAACAGGCACTACATGTGTGATTACCTGTAAGCCAAAAAGTAAATAATATAAAAAAAGCATATAATTTGAACCTGTAAATAAGCTCATGCAAAACAGGTCCTCAAGGAAATCTCCCTCTAAAACAGCTAATACAATTCGTACATTTTGCCTTTGAGAAAGATACTGCTAGGATTGAAACGTCAGGCCCTCCATAATTTGAGATTTGTATTTCAGGTTATTGTAATCAACAAGCAGTTTGCAGCAGTTTTGTATTACAATACACGTACATTGTACAAATGTACCTTTTCAAGATTAACCCTCTCCCCTTAAACATTTTACTTCCTCTCTCTCTCTCTCTCTTGGTTGTCACTCCAGAGGAGTATGACGACTTTAGCAGCGTCGTTCATGGGCGTAGATCCCAATGTGGTGCGATCATCATCTGGTGCAGCGGGGGCAGCAACAGAGAAAGGTGTGGGTTCGAGGATCGGCGACTGAGGTAGCCCTAGCAGCAAGCTTTTGACTGTGTTCAGCTGTCTCCTCAGCCAAACGGTCATTGATGAGCGAAGCGGAACCACTGACGGCAGATCTCCACCTTGAGCAGTTGCTTGCTCTGTTCTCCCAGGAGTTGACATCGATGGCACAAGCCTTCAGATGTCTTTTGAGACAGTCCTTGAATTCGGTCAGCCTCTGCTTCTTGCACCTTTGACTAGTTCACCAAAGAAGACAGAATTGGGAAGTTGCAAGTCTTAATTCCATGCATGCAGACTACATGGCCGCTCCATCGCAGTTGGCTCTGTGTGAGTAGTGTCTTAACACTAGGGATGCCTGCTTGTCTTCTTATTTCCATGTCACTTATCCTGTCTTGCCAGCGGATCTTGAGAAAATGTCTTAGCTGGTACCAGGACATTTGAATATGCTGGAGTCTCTTGATATGGTGACGGTACGGGATGTAGGTTTCATAAGAGCAGAGACGGCAGGTGAGGACCACTGCACAGTACACCTTGCACTTGGTTGTTAGCGGGATCCAGATGCCATGTCTCTTCCAGACCTTGGACTGGAGCTTCCCATAGGCTGCTGCCCACATGTACATGTACATGTAGCTGTGCTGATGCGCCTCGCCACTTCTTTGTCCAGGCTGTTGTCACAGGAGACTGTGCTGCCAAGGTAGCTAAAGCTGTACACAGCTTGAAGTTAGTTTCCGTCATGAGACAGCTCTGGGTCAGCGTAGACAGTGTGTCAAGGAGGTTGGAGCATGACCTCAGTCTTTCTGGAGTTGACGGTGAGGCCGAGGCTTTGAGCAACTAGTGGAAGACATTGAGCATGGCCTGGAGCTCAGCTTCGGAGTGTTTACCATGGCAGAGTCATATGCATAGAGCAGCTCACGAGCACAGATGATACAACTATCATTTTACATTTTACTTCCTACAACGTACTGGTAAAGTATCAAAATTCTCCCGGTGTACAAAAATTAGTGCTACAAAAGAACAAAGAGCATTTAATGACATTTTTAACCAAATCATACCACCCAAACCATGCAAATTGTAGCTTCCACATGTTTTTGAAAGGCCCATCTGTACTGCACTAGTTACTGTACATGTACATGTATAACCAGGAATACTAATTATCTACAATTCCAATCAAGCCTAAAACACATGTACAGTACATGGGATGATTTGAATACATGTACCTGGTCCCGAAATGTCAAAAGTTATTCATTCAGATTGAATGCTTTAGCAGCAAACTTCCCAGCAACTGTATCAGTGAGCTAGTATTTTGTTTGTTTTGTTTTTTGCATTTTTTACATAACTTTGATTGTGGATATTTCAAGAAATGATGTTACAATTCATATGTGTACATGTACATGTATGTAAAAAAGGAACAAGCTTTATCAAGTGCTTTCGAGTTTATAGGCCTGCGTACTCTATCAACCACCCAATAACAATTGCTACTATTCTTTCTGAATTTGGTGATTATTTGGAATCGGTTGTCCTGTCAACGGAACCTTTACTTATAACTGGTGACTTTAATGTGCATGTGGATGTGCCTGATGACCATGATTCCATGGCTTCTGCTGGACCTGCTTGAATCTACATGTATGGGCCTTCGGCAGCATGTGGATCAACCAACGCACGTGCATGAGCATACATGTATGCTAGATCTTATCATTATTCGTTGTAATGATACAGTTGTTAAAGATCGCCCGTCTATTGATCACCTGTTGTCGGATCATTTTTCAGTATTTTGCTACATTAATATGGTCAAACCTTCCCTCCCTACAAAGCATGTTTCATATTGGAAAATAAAATCAATTGACATCGAAGCACTGAAATTGGATCTTGCTTCCTCTAAGCTGTGTCAAGAAACCCTGAATGACCTGGATGTCCTGGTCGACTGTTACGATTCTACCATGTCTACATGTACTTTAGTTAAGATGCTTGATCGTCATGCTCCCATACAAACTAAACCACTTAAAGTCAGGCCACTAGTACACTGGTTTAATGATGAAATACATGTAAAAGCTACAAAAAGATCGCAACGGCAAGCAGAGCAGAAATGGAGGCATTCTGGGAATGTATCCGATTTGATGTCTTACAAGAACAAGAGAAATCGCACAAGTTATCTTATGAAAATGGCCCATCGGAACTTCTACTCCAACCTCATCAAGAAAAACAAAAAAATTCTGATCCAGATAAACTGTTCATGATCACAAAGAACCTTTTTGGTCACCACAGCGAGGTTCCATTGCCTCTATTCACCAGTAAATATGCTCTTGCAAATGAAATAGGGCAGTTCTTCGTCCAAAATTAATAGAATTCACAATAGACTTGACAACGCTGTCGTTTCCATCACAGGAGTCCCCCTAATTCCAGAAGTCAATGCATCTACACAAATGACTACATTAGATTGTTTTTCATTACTCTCGGATACTGACACGAAGTCTCTTACGTGTACATGTATCTCCAGGGCTACTAAAAAATCCTGCTCCCTTGACCCAATGCCAACAGCACTGGTGGTGAACTGTCTTGATGTCATACATGTACTTCCAATGCTTACAGAAATGGTCAATTTATCATTGGATTCTGGAGTTTTCGCCATAAATTGGAAACAGGCTCTAGTTATTCCACTTATTATTAATTATCATCCAATTAGCAACCTCCAACTTGTTTCAAAGTTGGTTGAAATGGCGGCATTCCAGCAGGTACATAATCATACCGGTATAACTACCCATTCACTTTATCCAACATTCCAATCATTGTATAGGAGACATCACAGCACTTAAACCGCTCTTCTCAAGGTTAAAAATGACATTCTTTTGAACATGAACTCTCAACAAGTCACTCTCTGGTTCTGTTAGATCTTAGCGCAGCATTTAACACTGTAAACCATAATATTCTTCTCCAGTGGCTTCAGACCAAGATTGGGATCAGTGGCAAAGCACTGGATTGGTTTGCTTCTTACCTTGCCGACAGAAGTCAACAAATTTCCATACAGGAAGTCCTATCAGACACATTTGGACTGAACTGTGGGGTTCCCCAAGGCTCTTGTTTGGGTCCGTTATTGTTACCATTTATGCGTCTAAATTGTTTGATGTAGTTGATAAACACCTTCCCAATGTTTACTGTTATGCTGATGACACTCAGCTTTTAAACCTGGTTCAAATGTCACTCAGGCAGTGTAAAGTAAAGACCTATCTTTTTAAACTGGCTTTTAACTAAGTTTAATGTTAATTTTTAAATGCTGGAAATTGTAAATTTAAATCACCATTCTTTTAGGCATAATTGTTTTTTGCTAGTTTTTTTAAAGTGGTCTTAGCCTTCTTTTTAAAGTAATATTACAAATACATGTATTTTGAGTAATGCGCGTACGATCATTGTCAAGGAGACTGCGCAATATAAATTTTAATTCATAATTTATTTTAATATTATTATTCCTTCAATCCTGTAAAATCTTCCAAAACCCGTGAAGTAGGCCTAGTGTATTTTGATATTACTAAGGATGAGGGAGGCTTATAATTAATCAGCTCCAACATGTGTCAGTATACACATACCATAACTTTAAAAAAATCAGCTTTTACCAAAATGGAAATTGTTACGGTACCTATTTGTTTACCCACATTGTGTGTAAATATCAGAACCTGGACACTGGTTTTCATGATTAAAAAATGAAACTGTGTGCACAAGTGTACATGTACCTGTAACCATGCTGTAACAAACAAGTGCATCATTTACTGACTTTTGCTATGGAAACAAGCTGTAAGAACCTTCCATGTACATGTACATGTATAATAAACATGTACATATAATCCAGGTCAAAGTCAAAGGGTGGAATGCAAGTTGCATGCACTGAAACTATTTTGTAGTCTGTGGTTAGCATGTGTACTGAACAAAGATAAATGGCTTTGTGGAAATAACTTGAATATGGACATCAACTGAAAGTCACAAATTGTAATTGCAGTACTGTGATAACTACAGAACACATGCACATGTACCAGTCCCTTCACCACTAACATGTGTATGTACATGTATGCCATATGAACTTATTGTACAAATACACAGTACCACCTGTACAGTGTACATGTACTTTGTACACATACACGTAAATGTATCTAAAAATATTTTGAGGAGAGTTTAGGGAATTTCCGCAAGTCTATTAAAAGACCTACACATACATGTATGTACACATAGGTAGTTTCCTTGTTAAATAATTACTAATAAAGAAAAACGAACGATGTCCACTGATAAGGGAACATGTACCATACATGTACATAGCCCACTATTGACATAAAGTTTACAAAGTGTAAATAAATGTTTACCAGTACTGGTATGTACATGTAGTTGAACTTCATACTAATTGGTTTCTACCTTTACATACTTCGAAGATTTCCAGAAATCAAAACGAATGTCTGACCAGTTTTGTAAACATTCAAAAACTGTAATCTAATGTGCTTTCTCATTTAAACAATGTAACTGCTTTACTTAAATGTACTTGTGTCATTTGTTTACTTTTGCGATGCAACCATATGTACATTCCTGCGTAAATGTATCCGACTTGGGAATATATTTCTATTTTGAAGTTGAACATTATCCATTGGTCAATAGGAACTGTGTGGGTGGATCTACGGTGTATAATGTACTTTGTAAATAGTAATCGTATTTCAAAAGAAAAGTTTGAAAGGATGTGTGTGACATTCAAATATACAAAGAAGAAATCTAATGACAAATCATAACATTTGTTTCCGTCTTAAAACGTATCTAAATGTTTTCTTGATGTAGAATTGCCGGTATATCTGTACAGTATCCACATTTATGGTTTGATCAATTGCGAATGCTAAGAAGGAATGCAG